GGAGGACAAAAAGAGAATCCTGTGAGCTAAAGAATTCTGCTTCCAGCTACCATGTACAGAAATCAAAAAGGATTAACAAGTTTTTTTTTCATTTAATTTCCTGTACACCAGACGCTTTTGTTAAGAGATCAGAGATATTGCTATTTATTGAATTTTTAATATGATCTTTATTAAAAGGCAGCACACATGTTTAGTTTTCTTTTTTTTTTTTTTTTTAAAACATGCATGGGTATAAAAATCAAAGCACAGGAATGAACCACGGTTGTTTGATTTTGGTCTCTTTATATTATGGTGATTCAGACTCTTATTTAAATTTTAAAATAATAAAAACCCAACCCACATAGAAATAGCCCCTCATCCTTCTTTTAACTCCTGTCTATTCTGCTAAGTAAGCAATGGGCCCAGAGCAGCATTTTGACCAATCAGATAATGAATTCTGCCTTTGGAGTCAGCGTAAGACCAAGAAATTAGGTGTGTAGCTGAGTAGAAAGGGCTACGAGTAATTAAATCACCACTGTATGTGCTCATTTGTTACGTGCAATACCCCCAGGTTAGTCTTCAGCATGAACTGTATCACTAATGAAAGGAGTGAAAACCAAACTATATGACCCCCTCCTCTGGGTGCTAAGGAACTGGACCTGTTTTGTCCAGGAAGAGCCAAGATTGCTGGAGCAGAACCAGTTTTGTCCAGTCATTCACAAAACACATCAAACCATCCTCTCCCAGTGACAGTCAACAGCTATTCCAGCCTGTCCTTCCTTCAATATTTAGCATGACATAAGTATGATGATTTCTTAAGGTTAGTCCTGCACTAAAATCTAAGCAAATATCCTGACCAAAAGACAAATACCTTCTTTTCTATCTGCAGCTCTGTAGATTTTCTTTAGAACCTGTAACTACAATCTGCAACCATTTAAAAATCAGATTAGACTCAGACTTCATGAAATGCCCTACATGTTTGTTTGCTACACTGCTCATATTGAATCCATAGGATTCAACCTAGTTTTACTGTGTATAAATATTATTGTGCCAGTCTGAAGCTTGGGAACCTCTTTCTTCTGCCAGACTTCAGTTCTTTATGACCTGTGAATCACTTGGTCTTTTTGACAAAACATTCTGTAGCCTGAGACAGTGGACCTCAGGAGTGAAGGTGGACACAAACCTTACCACCTTATGCTTAGTTTCCTTTTCAGGCAGTTTTCCCTTTCTGGATTTCAGAGTGCCCATAATTCCATATATCTTTGTGATTGCAAATCACATTGGGAAACTTTACAATAGCAGCCTTGTGGGTTTTGTTTATCATAACATTGTAGCAGGGCACGCAAACTAGAAGGAAACTGCTGGTGCAGCCACAAAAACCCAGAAGTACAAAGAATAGCTCTGAAAAAAACTCCAAAAAATAACCATAATGGATAGAACTTTCTTCCTTTTATCTACAAGTTGCTGCTGCACGACAGTGCAGGTGTGAAGTGGGAGTAATTCTCCCCTATGGCAGTTGCTTGTTGTTAAAACAAATTACTCGTAAAGTTTGAAATCTCTGGACAGTGTGTGTCACATATTTTAGAAGAATATAATGCCTAGAATCTTCTGTTGTGCCTCACAAGAAGAAGGAAAAGCTCAGCATGGCTTAAAGACCTGCTCCAGCACAGAGCAAGTAGTCAGCGTTATACAGAATCAAGGGAAAACAGGTAGAGTACAATAAAATGTATTCACATAAAACATTTCCACACAAACATCAGGTTTATGAACAAAAATTAATACAAAGTCAGCAATTCCTACTTACGGAAGACAAAGATGTGATTTTTCCTTGTTTGTTGGAAGGGTGTATTCTGCTGACTAGCACAGCACTGAGCTACAAACACCAGAGGATGCAGATCACCAGGGTTCTTTTCATCAGCCTTTTAGATCAAAAGCACTCTTAGAAAAGGTGTCCTGAGCCTGAAGTGAGGACAAGTCAAGTCTCTTGACTGAGTGCAGCATGTGTCAACCTGGAAACCCTTTGACCCACTAGGTTACTTCTACTTCTGGCACTAAGAATTCCAGAGGGGATACCTCATCTGTGTCTTGTCTTTTTAATGGAAAGTTGGAGCTATATCTAACATCAGAAGTAATTACTCACTGTACCAATAATTGCAAAGGGTGGTATGCAGATCACAGATGGCCTGTGGGGAGCAGAATGGTCCAGGTGCTATTTGATGTTGGTAGAAGTTAGAGCCATCTTCCAGCTTGAAACAAGTGACTAAGATTACAGGAGTGCAAAGGTGAGCTTTCATATACTCCCACACCTGATCTGTGCTTTCTAAAAACCACCTGTATCTCAGGATCTAGTAAAAAATCAGAAATGATATGGGCTTTTGTCTTTTTTTTTTTTCCCCCTACAGACTTTGACAAGTATTTCTCCAAAGCTAAATGCATTTAACTTTCCAGCAGAAACTAGTTTTTCTGTAGTTCAAAATAAATGTCCACTTTTTTCCCCCAGTGTTTTGAGGAACTTTTTTTCAGGTACAGTGGTCACAACAGGATTCTCTTCTATCACTGAAGAAAAGAATACCAGGTTTATTTTTTCTGCTTTTGTCCTTCCCTATTCTTCTTTTGAAGGAAAAAAAGTATCAAAAGACTTTTTCTCCCCCTTGAGATACAAAAAAAATGCTACCAAAACCCCTTACTTCTTAAAAGAAGTCCACAAGATGAACTTAAACATGAGGTTTTTGTTCCTCTGTGTAAAGACAGTCTGTGGAAGTTGCACTGAAAACCTACCAAAGAACCTTCTAAGACTGAAAAACCAGGTTCAGTGATCACTTCCTTTTAAGTGTGTCTGGCAACCAGTACTATTTTTATGACTTGGACAAAAAACTGATTTCTATGTAGGCTATAGCTGTCAGGCATTTAAAATCCCCTAGAATGAGATACAAGATACAGAGGTGCTTCTCATTGCAGTAATGAAAATCTCTTTTGAGCCACTGGATTCTCAGGACCTCAAGTAAATCGACTTGAGACTGCAGCACCAGTGAGCTCCAACTTTTTTCATGTGAGGTATTTTAAATGGAAGTTTACAAAGTGATGCACTGAAAACTTCAGTGGGTAACTAACAGACTTACAAATAACAACAGTAATACATTAATAGCTTACTTGTGTCTCAGTGCATTTAAACATAAGAACTGTGATGAAATTTTAGATTTTCATAGGAAGCCAGACTGAACCATCTCCACAGGTACCACAAATGGGATATATACTGGAGTGGAATTGGCCCAATTCCTTTTGTAATAATGAATAAGTGATTTCAGTGGAGGTCAACGTGGTTCATTAACATCTATTATTATGTATTAATACAGAATAATATACTCAAAAGGGTTTTATCTCCCTCTTTTGTTTAATGCATGGAAAAGTATGGTCTGAACCATGGTGACCATCTTGGTGATCAGTGTTTGGTCTGAATGCCAGTATATAGTCAATCCCAGAAGTGGAAACAGTGTAGGCATATCCAGATTACTACTTCTATCCTTGCACTGATTTCTCATACACAATTTCTGGGGGCACATCTGCTCCTTCTTAGAGGTATAGTATGTCTCTAGGATCTTTCCCTCCAGAGATCTCTAGAACTCTACCTTTCTAGGCAGAGGGAAATCAGAGGTAGCTAATGGAAAACTATTTCAGTGATGTAACCTGTTTTTCCATCACTCAGAGAAGCAGAACTGGTTTTCTTATTTATAGCCAGGTCAGCTTGTCAAGCCCCCTTGACTAGACAAAAAAATCCCATACACTGAGATGAGAATAAGGAATAAGGCATGAGGAACTTACAGAGAAGAATAACTCCAGTGAAGAAGACTATGTAGATACTACAGCAAGAATACTTAGACAGGGATTATTAAGAATTAAAAACAGTTTCCATAGGTGAGTTCAGCAAGTTTTATGTGGTCATGTATGTAAATACTCACAAAGGACTTGGTCCAAGATGAGTGCCTCCTCCTCCAAAATGCTTTGCCCAGGACTTTTCATCTTGTTGCAATGTTGTCTTGGCTTTGACTGCAAATTCAGTAGCTTTTGGAGTGCCATCACTAGTGAGGTGAGCAGGATTTACTATGCCTTAAAGTAATTACATGCAGCTTCAAATTCAATGAGTTCAGTGGCAATGGAAGTCCAACTACAGGAACATGTGTTGGTGCAGTGCAACGCTGCAGTCAGAACTGTGAAAATACATTTTCTAATGTGCACTGGGAATTAATTCTCATGAAATGGGAGTGTGGTCCTACTGAATTTCCCCACACAATCTGAGGATATGCCATCAAGTACCACTTCTTGAAGAAACCTGTTAGGTTAGTTAGTGCCAAAAAAACCCACTCATCAAAGAGTGTGACTTGCAATTTGGGA